GCCAATCCGTAGAGGGTTATTACTATTGGTTATGTTTTGGTAACCCCGACTACGGCGGCGATCCGTAGAGGGTTATAAAGATATTTTTTGTTTTGTTTTATAAAAGAGTTTTGAGCTAAGTCTGAGGGATACTGAATGGTCCTAGAGTCTGGATCATTTTAAAGAATCGAATAAAGAAAAGTTAGGAGAAGAACGTGAATCGATAGATTGAGTTTTGTTTGAGTTGAATGTTGATTGAATTTGTTTTCTATTTGACTGTCTATGTTGGGTACGGAGGTGAGGTTTATAGTCTTGCAATTTCACTGAGCTATTCACGTAGCTCACCCTTTTTTTTCCCACAGGTAAAAGGTGAAGCAGATTGTTTTGGTTTGACTCGATAGTTACCAGGAAACCGAAGATTTTGGGTTTCATTTTTTTTTATTCAATTTATTCATGAAATTAGTAGTTGGACTTAAGTTATTGAATTTCATTGTTTTAGACTTCCGCTGTAGACATGAGATTTTGAGGGTTGATTTTAGAATAAATCATTTTTTTATAACTCAAGTGACGATTCAACGAGTCTGAAATACCGAATTTTGGATCGTTACAAAGGATAAAATTTTCAATTGATCTAAGGGTTGAAGGTAGCACTTGTATAGTTACAATTAAGAACATGTTTTGTTTTAATTTCTTTTTAGTTTTTATAACTTCCGTTTTGTTGTTCTCCGTTAGTGATTTTTTTTACTCAATTTGTAAAGTTAGGGTAAAGTTAGGGGTTTTAAATAATGAATTTTAAGTATGATATTTTAATTTTAATAAGTTGCAAAGTTTATGATTTTTTTAGGTTTGTAAATAAAAATAGTAAAAAAATTATGGGACATACACTTGTATATATACACACACATATATATTTATATACATATATACATACACATATATACTTATATACATATATGCACATATATCTACACATATATACACATAAATATATATACGTATATACAAATACACGTACGTATATGCATACATATATACACACACATATATATAAATAAATATATACATATATATAAATAAATATATACATATATATAAATAAATATATACATATATATGCATATATATATATGTACATATATATATATTTACGTTTATATATATAATGGTGTTTGCACGAGAGAAATGACCAGAATAAGATAAAAAAAAAGAAGAAATATCAAAAACAATATTGCACATTGCACAATAGATTATGGAGAAAATAAATTAGTACGGTTAATTTTTGGTTGTGCTATATGAAAAAGAAGTTATATAAAAATCCAAGGGAACAGGAAAAAATATTAAGCATTTGAATTTTTTTTCCATTTTCAAAAATCGGTAATTGAAAAGTAAAACAAAAGGTTCTCGGATATCTTCGTGTTTTGTCCGAATCCAAAACGATGTAATCGTTGATATACATATATGCACTTAAATAGGCAAAATAGCAAAACGAGCAAAAGACATAAATGACCTTATTAAAAATGACACGTGGCACAAGGAGAAGTGAAACTTTTGAATTTTATTTTAAAAATAATTAAATTCATGGAAAAGTGGAGAACATGGGAAAAGTATCCGTCTTTACTTCTCCTTGTGCCACGTGTCATTTTTAATAAGTCGTCTTTCTCAACAATTCTCTCTATTCTCAATTCTCAACTTTCTGTTTATCATAAATCAAACAAAAATGAGTTCTCCATCGAACAAAAATCAAAAGAAGACTTCATCCACTGATCGTAAATCAGACGAAAATGCAGAAAAGACAAAAAAGTAGAGAGAATTTTGATAGAAGACGATGATGAAGAAGGAGAAGAACAACCAAGAAAAAAACAAAATAACAAAACAAGTCAAAAAAGAAGAAGAGGTGGAAAAGGCTAGAGAATTCACCGGGGGAGAGGTGAATCAAGAGAAACAAGTAGAACCAAATGCCAAGAAGCGACGTCCTGTATTTATATGGAAACCCACCGTAGTTTCAGATAACGTGCTTTGGGTAGAGATTTTTGTCCAACCATCTACTAACAAGGCGACACTTCTGTATAATTTTATGAGGATGAATCGTCTGAATCGACTATGGAAATCAGAACTCAATTAATGAGAAAACCAAGGTTCTGGAAAGACCTTTTACAAGAGAGGATGTGGCTCAAAGATGGAGTAAGTACATTTCTTTTTCACTAGTCACACTAGTCACACTGTTGTATTAACTGGTCACACTAGTCACATTGCTCACACAGTTAAAAATTCACATTGGTCATATTGGTCACACTGGTCACACTAGTCACACTGGTCACACAATTAATAATTTACATTGGTCACACTGTTATATTATCCTAGACGGATTTTTTTGATGATGTTGAATTTTTTATCTATGTAAATTTTTATAGACGTTGATGGGTTGAGGAATAGGACATCTGTTACACTAAATTTATTAGTAAATTCAATATACTAATGATAATTGTTTTTCATTATTAATCTATCAAATATTTAGAAAATATTTTTTGTTTAATAACACACTGTCGAAAATCTTTGAATTTATATCCGTAACGACTATAATACTTTTTCTTACATTCAATCTGTACATTTGTGAATGGAGTTCTGCAGTGAGATCATCCCATATGGATAGTTTGACAATATTGTTGTTGAGTTTTATATTGAAATCACATGTTAATATATATAAAAGTAATAAGATAAAAATTTTTAAAATGACATTGCTTAGGAGGTAAACAAATTTTGAAAACTTATTCTTCCAATAATAAATAGAGAATAATCTTCTGAGTTGATAACGACATTCGTAAATTTGATCCTTGTATTGCGAGTAATACTCCAATAATATATGCAACAGACAATCCCACAATCTGCCAGATAGTCAGTGAACTCTTGGCTCATATACTCACCACCTCGATCAGATCGAAGCAACTTGATCGTCTTGCCAAGT